GTGGGCCTGGGATATGCATTTTAATGAGGTGTTTGAATCCTCCTCTTGCTTCGTAGCAGGGCCAATATCTGGCAGTGCCACAGCCTCTAACAACCACATATTGTCTCCCTTTGAGCTGCACAGCTTTCAGGGTATCCAGGCTTCACCCTCACCCTGCTCCCCAAACAAACAAGAGACTGTGAGAGAAATGTCACCAGGACTCGGATTCCTCCTAAAAGGTGCCCAGATGGTCTGACATCATCCCAGATGTCTCTGAGGCAGATCTTTGACTCAAGAAAGGGCTGAAGGCTCTCAGCTCTCCCATGGCAGAGTGTAACTTCCCATGCTTTCTGTTCAAGCAAAGTGAGGTCTATCAGAGCTAACTCCAAGGGCCAGGTACAAATGTGACAAATCACAGACAAACCAGAGTGTAGCTGAGGGAGTTCTGTTCTTCCTGCTCTTGCTGGGGGTTGTACAATCCCAAATCTTCTTGGCTGTGATGTGGGGCCCTTAGCAAGCCTGAACCAGAAAAGCAGCAGTTGTGTTCCATGTCCAGGTGTTGGTGTGGAGGTGACAACAAAGCCCAGTGTGGTGACTGGGAGCTGGCTTGTCTCTGACCTTGTAGGCTTGAGTAGGCACTGTTTGCACATCAGTTGTTTAGGTAGTGTGAGCTCATCTTCAGCTTCTCTTCATCCATGAAGCACAGACATGAACTGTGACCATCTCTTGTCCCCAGCTGGGGGACCAGTGTTGTTCTGCTCCAGATTTTGGGATGATATTTTGTAGCCCTGGAGGTGGTTGTTTCTCTCCCTAGGTCCCAGCTGAGCTGACAGCTCATTCGCCAGCATGATTTCTCAGCTCAAATGCAGCAGCAACTCAGTCTCCACCTCTCAGCTCAATTTCATCCGTGCTAATTTGAGGGAAACAGAGGAATCTTGCCCCATCAAGTCATCCTCTTTTAAATCCTTGTTTAAAACTTGACTCTGACTGCTACAGACCATTTATTTTTATTCAGCAGTTCTGTATTGTTACTTCTTGCCATCCTCTTTTTTAATCCTTGCTCCACCCTCCACCCAAATATGCCTGGGTATTATCTACCCAGGCAAACACATTTGGAGAAGTATTTCCCCTTGCACCACCTGGCACAAGGGCACTAGACCCCTAAACTTGTTTTCCTCAGCGTACTTGGGTCAGATCTGTGCCCAGCTTATCTCCAAAATGAACCAGGGTCATATGCACAGCCGTGGAGGAACAACCTGGCCCACAGCAGGGAAGAAATGGTTAATTTTCTGCCTCTTTGGCAGGATTTTTAGTTGGATGACTCACTGGGGCCAGAGGGGAGTGGAAGTGCAAGGACCCCATCGGCAGCAGAGCAGCTTGGGAATCCCACGGCAGCCTCAGCCCTTGCCTCCTCAGAGCCAGGAGAAATTCCAGCTGTGGCCTTACAAGGCCAGAACGAGAAACCTGCTGCCGTGTCCTGACTGAAGCTGCTGCCAGGGACACTCTGCACGAAGAGCTTTGCAAATCCTAGTCTGGAGTCTGGTGGAGGCAGGAGGAGAGGGCTGGACACTGCAATCAGTCATGGCTATGAACTTAAGGATTTCAAGCAGTGCACTTTTACCAAGATATTCTCCTTATTAAAAGTCAGTTTTGCCTGCCAGCTCCTGAATCATATCCAGCACTCCCGAGGGAAGTCACGTCTCTCTCATAAACCATCTGTGGGTGAGCAATACTGGTAGCAAAGTGTGTTGTTGCCACCCTGTGAGGACTGCAGTCTTTAGGATATACCTGGGAGTCCTTACGGGCTGGGAGGAGAGATGGAAACAGGAGGAGCCAGGGAATTCAAAGCAGTCTGAGACAGCTGGAGAGCCAGTTCTGCTCCTTTTGGGTCCAGTGAGCAATATAATGCCCAGGAGTGTGCACGATTAGGTCTTGAGGTGAGTCCCACCTTCTCTGTGTTGAGCCACTCAGGCTCTTGGAGGCAATGCTGGGAGACCGACACTTCCAGACAGTGACTCAGCCCATCCTAAAACCTGTCCAAAACAGATGGGATGGATTGTTCTCTGGAGGTGAATTCCCCTGCCTACAGCAGGATTAGATGTGATGCCTAGCTTTCTGATGGCTGAGTTGGAAAAGCTGAATCCCACCCTTTATTTTTACTGGGGATGAGGTAAAAACTACAGAAGAATGAACCATATGGCCTCCCTCACTCTGTTTGCTTTGGACCAAAACCATTTGTGCACACACACACTTGTACATATGTTTGTGTGTATATTACATAAATTTAAGGATTTTTTTATTGAAGTTGCTGAGGCAAGCACAGGATAGAGATGCCAGAATCCAGGCTGTCAGTGCATGTCCATTGAAATATGACAGAAGTTTTTCCAGGGAAAAACTGACACAAACTCTGTGGAGATGATTTAACTGTGACAAAAATGAGACAAAAAGGAAAGAGAGAATGAAAGAAGGGGAGAGAGAGATGGTCCCAGCCCCACATTTGGCCCCTGTATGAGGGTGTGTGGAAGTGCTGGGGTTTCTAGGAATGTCTGCTACAGTTCCCTCCTGATCCTGTTTGCAATTCTAGCTTGGATGCTGTATACATCAAACTACGCTGCTGCTTTGTGTTGTTTCACCATTTCTTTTCATTTTCTTTTTGGCTGAACACAGGCAAGCATGTCAAAAGGAATTTGTGAGCACCAGGGAAGTGAGATGCAGCCTCTCTGCAAGTAGGCCAAAGCAAGATTATTTTTCTTCTTGCCTTGTTCTCATAAACAGCAGAGCTTTTTGGGCTCAATAAATCCCTTTGAGAAAAGTGCAATTTGACAGAATTGCAAAAAAACCAGAAAAGAGGGTTTTTGTAATGGGAAAGGTCAAGCAGTGTTAATTAGAATCAGAGCTGTAATATAGATAATGAGATTTGGGGAGTTTTCCTCTAAATCATTGCTTCCAGGCACCTCTGATTCTCTCCTTTGCCTCCCTTGGTGGGAGAAGAGGGAGGGTGTTGTGGTCTCGTTGTTCCTTGCTTTAACACCCTGCCCCAAATTTCCTTCAGCAGAAGTTGGCATGGAGGCCTGATCACACTCACACAGGATAGAAGGTTCTCCATTTTCATCTTCTGCTTTAATCCATTTTTTGAGGGACAAATGCATGGCCTAAACTCATTATCATGGAATAAATCCAAGAGTCCTTTCCTCCACTGTGTGATTGCTGCTTTGCCTTTCTGCGCACGTATGAGGTGGTTTGGCTGACTGCATTGAGAGCTGGAAACCCCAAGTTTTGGAAAGCCCTCAATTTTTGACCTTGACACAGTTACTAAAGTAATCTGTGCCTTGATTTTTCTCTTTGTGAAATGAGACTGTGAATGTTTGAGGGTCCCTCTGAAAGGTGATGTCGTGTATTATCCAATGCATTTTTACAACACAAAGGCTGTTGTAAGAGAGGAGGTGAGAGGGCATAAAACTTTCCCTTCTTTTTCAAATAACTGCTATTTAGCCCATCTTAGCCACCTCTCTATGGATTGTTAGATTGGAGACAGCGCTCATGTTTGGGGCAGGTATTCATCTTTGTGAAGGTTTGTTTGCTGCACCTCATGATGTGAATCTAGTGGGCTTCTCTCCTTCTCTTTGAAAGAGCCACTTCCACCAGCATTTACTTCAATATCCTGATCTGTGAAAAGGCAGTGGGACGTGGAGGGATGTTCCAGCTAAGCAAATAGAGGGATGAATCCTTAGATCCCTATGGAGGAAAATGGTTTGTACGGAGGACAGAAACAGACAGGGAGGGACTCCAGACCTGGCTCCAGAATTTTTGAAGCTATGGGAAATATTCCCCTTAACTTCAGAGGGACTGGAAGCCAAGTCACCAGCTGTGAGGATTAGGTTTGTTTGCAGTTGCATCATTGCATCATCATCTTCCATGCAGAATCCAGAGGGATGCTGATGACACAGCCTGGTCAGGCCTTTGAGTTCCTTTCCAAACTGTCTTTACATAGAAACATCAGGCCTACAAATATGTGATTTCCAGTACTGCTGATTAGTTTTCTATTTTTTCTGGACAAGCCCTTCACATATTTTCCTGACAGGCAGGAGAGAAAACTTTAAATGCTGGTGAGCCCACCATATTATTTCCTGCAGAGCTTTCCTTGGAATTCAAAAGGCTTAATGGTGGCCAAGAAGGGGCTGAGCCAAGAATCTGCTGATCCCTCTACTTAGAGATATTGCCTCATATTCCTCCCATGTGTTTTGCATCCAAATATAGGGTATGTTTGCATGGTCAGAGGCTGCTTTTGGGCATCTTCTCTCAGTCTTACTAAGCTGAGGTCTGTCTCCATGTGAACACAGCTGCATGGCTGCTGAATCAAGGCTGGTCAAACTGGGGAGAACTGGACACCTCTGCACTTTTCCTCTTGGCTTAGGTAGAATCTGCAATGCCTAGTCAGGGCTTCTTTTTCTATCTAATTCATCTGAATATATTACCTTAAACATTTATTACTTGCTGAAACTATTCATTAGAGTACATATATAGCGATCAGTACCCTAATTATGAACAGAGCATGTGCATCCTTGACATATTTTGAGATATTTCAACTTATAAGCAACCTGTTTTAACTTAATGCCACTTGCAGCTTACTGCAAGTCCAGAGGGCTTTAGAAAAGCTCTAATGAGTTTTTGTTATTAGTCATTATTAGTCACTATCCCTTAACACAGAATGTGGTTCTCCCAGTCACTGGGAGCTTTTATCCTGATTGTCATGCGTGATTTTAAAGCTTAGTTAGGTCTAGATGTGCGTCACAGCTTTGCAAGACCTTTTGGGCAAGTGTTGTTCTTTCATCTCATATTGGCCTAGCATCTGGCACCACAGATATCAGGCCTTGAGACAGGGAAGGACATCCCAATTTCCTTCACCATTCGACTGGCAGTGTAGAAATATCTGTAAGTTCAGTAAACGTCTTGAAATTCAATTCTTGCCCACTAAAACACTGACAGTTGTGTCTACTGGTCTCTTTTCCTTCTCTTTCTAGACCAAAGAAGCTCTCTTCACAATCCTCCAGGACCTCAGGCCTGAAGACCACTTCAACATCATTGGCTTTTCCAACCGGATAAAGGTGTGGCAGCAGGACCGGCTGGTGCCGGTTACTCCAAACAACATCAGAGATGCCAAAAAGTACATTCATAACATGTCACCTACTGGAGGTAAGATCCAGATAGGAACAGGATTAATGTTGTCATCCAATTAACTACAAGAGAACAGAGAGTGGTCAGTGTAGTCCTGTAGCATGGAGCAATAAACAGACATTGGGATTTAGGTCATAGGACAAGGGGGCCCCTTCTGCACCTCCACTCAGGGTTATGTGACAGAGGTTATGTGCTCTTTATTAATGCACATGATGGGAAGGTTTCCTCAGATCCTGCCACTGCAGGGGTGTGGGACTAAATGACCTTCCAACCCAAATTATCCTATGATTCTATATACTTACTAAAGCCAAGTGGACTCCATTCTCTTTTTTATCTGATGAGACCCTTGAAGTGGGAAAGCTTCCAAGGTTATCTCTTGAGGACACAGGAAAAAAAAAACATCCCAGTGAAGGATACACAGGGCCAGTACTTGTGCAGTTTCTGAAAGCCTGTGTAAAATCAGGCACATGGTTTCGTCTGGGCTGGAAACTCCAGGGACAGAGTACCCGGCAGGGACTGTGGAATTGCCTTCTGCAATACTTAGTGTCTCACCTAGTACTGTCCTCTTATCTCTACCAAGGAGCAGCCAAAATGACGTTTAAGAGTTTCTTGTCCCATTTTGCTTGTGTCTTGTTGCCGTGAGGGAAGAGGAGAAGACCCCAGAACAGTGGCAGAGTGCAGGCATGATTTTTGATTTGACTCAGAGGTCTCCTGCGAGGCTATGGACAGTAGCATAAAAAAACTCTAATGAGGCTTGTAATCAAACAACCCTTCCTCGTGCCAGCAGTCCCACCTGGAGGTCTGGAGGTCAGGCAGGGCCTTCTCATGGCTGACCCTGAGCAGTGACCACTCCTAGCAAAGGAAACCCTCTGATGGAAAAACGTGGCAAACAGGATGGTTGGCCGTGCTGTTTGTGTTGTGAGAGGAAGAGTTTAGGAAGCGGTCAAGGGACCTGCCCAGTTAAACAATTACCAAGAGTGGGACTAAACTCAGAGAACAAAGCCTTTTACTCCTGAAGTGCCAAAAGAGCTGTGCAGGAACCAGCTGAGTTTGCCCACGAACCTGCCAGAGAACAAAAGTAAAGGGAAATGATTAACTCTGGTTCAACAGGAAGGTGCAGTGATTCTCCACCACGGGCCAATGGTACTTTAGTTTTGTCTAACTCTGCATTTTCCCTATAAAGGTGCTGTTGCTCGAGTATCTCCCAGTGAACATGAACACACTCAGGCTCATGGATCACACACAATGAATGTGGTGTAGTTATACTCTTGTGTCATACTCATACACCAGAGAAATGGGGGGGAAAATACTGCTTCTAAATACCTGATCATGTGGCAAAAGGCAGTTTTCAGTGCTCAATAGCTCTGTGATATAACTGAGTTTGAAATTACACACTCTGCTACATGGAATGGTTTTGGTTTGGGGAAAAAATTCTTTCTGAAATTCTGGATCTGGATGGGGACTGAGAGAGTGTTAGGATACTCAGGTGCAGGTTTTTGGTTCAAAACCATTTTGCAAAAGACACAGTCAGGATTTTGAGGACTTTTCAGAAGTCTTTGCCCCTTTCCCATTTTTGTAGTCACTGGGGCTGTGCACACTAAGTTTCCAGGTGTGTCTTGCATGGTCAGACCTGCTGGCATATCCTTGCTAATAACCTTTCTAGATCTCCCCTTCTGGACTCCCAGGAGTCCACTGTTTTTTGGCTTTTAACCCATTTCACCTGCAAAGCTTCCACAATCAATCCCTTTGTGCTTTGACTCGCACAAGAAATACATGGAGCAAAGGGATACTGTACTCGTTTTTCCTGCTTTTTTTTGAACACACAGTAGGCTTGGATCATTTTTGTGGCTATTCTTCTAATATATATCTGTTCCCTCATTTACTTTCTGTTTTGTCCCTCCCTCCCTACTTCAGGCAATTCTATTCTTCGCTAGCCAGTTGTTTTGTGCAAACACACTCCTCAGCTGACCAAGCCATTTCTCTTTCCTTTAAACTTTGTATCCCCTGGGGTGCGAAGAACAAACCCAACCACTTGTTTTCCCCTTTGAAGGCGTCTTCCCTGTCTCCAAATATTGTGCCCTTCAGACAAAGCAAGCAGAACTTGTTTTCCGAACTCAAATGTCATCTGGGAGAATCCCATAATTAAGTTTAACCAATTTGTTTGTACCAGCCAGGCAGGGGATGTGCTGTGACTCTGTTTACCAAGGCTGGTTTCTGTACATTGAGCATTCAAGGATACAGTGATTTCACATGATGAACTGAAATTCATATTTCAATTCATAAGACCATAAACAGCTGTTCCAAACTGGTGCTCAGTAACAGAGCTGAGCTGAATTAAAGGGGTAGTGCAACCTCATGTAGAGAAGAGAAACATCCTGATGTACAGAGATGCTGTCACCACAATAAAGGGAGCTTAGGGAAATTATTCTCACCACTCTTAGAAGGAGAAATGACCTAATAATTTTGTTGCCTTCCTAGGGACTAATATTAACGGAGCTCTCCAGACTGGTGCAAAGCTGCTCAATGACTACATTGCTCAGAACGACATCGATGCCAGGAGTGTCTCTCTGATCATCTTCCTCACTGATGGGAGGCCAACTGTTGGGGAAACACAGTCATCCAAAATCCTCAGCAACACCAAGGACGCCGTCCGTGATAAATTCTGCCTCTTCACCATCGGCATTGGCAACGACGTGGACCACAAGCTGCTGGAGAGGATGGCACTGGAGAACTGCGGCATGACGAGGCTTTTCCAGGAGGATGAGGATGCAGCCAGTCACCTCAAAGGGTTCGTTATGCTCTCTCTGAGCTTATATCTGCATTAGGTCCTCTTGCAAGGGTTTTGGGATGGAAAATCCCCTTAGGAGACATAGCAAGAAATGAGAGTTTCCCTCAGCCTCAGCTCTGTTAGGGAGAGGCTGATTATGCTCAGATACTGAGGATGCCTACTGAGAAATTGTCTCCTTCCTAGCACATCCCCTCAGTTGTACCGAAGCTTCCCAGCCCCTGAGAACAAGACATTTGTTTCTTTAATTCAGACCATTGTTTTGGGTAAACCTGGAGAGATGAGAGGCATGAAGGCAAATTCTCCACAGGTTGAAGGAAAGGTTGCATTGCTCACTTCAAATTGACAACACTTCACAGCATGAAGTGGATGAGGAATGAAAATCCCAACTTGGGGCAGAAATTATTTCTTTATTATTTGAAAATTATAACCTTTTGACTGAACTCCAAAATATTCGACTTTGAACAACACATGAAGGTCATTCCTGGGATGATCAGAAAGTCACTTAATTCCCTCATTCTTTATGACCCAACTCCTCATAAGTTTCCTGTAATCCTCATTATCCAGTAGGACCAGAGATCGTGCTCCTCTTCTGTGATCAGGGAGCTGTAGTCCAAGGGGAGACCCCTGTGAGGATCAGCAAAAAGATACCTGAACCACAGCTCTGACTAAAATGTCAGGCAGTGTGTCAGCATTTCCAAACAAAAATGTTTGGCTTTCACTCCCAAACTGTTAGTGTTTTGAACCTCAGAAACCAAACCCAGACACTGAGTAGAGACCTCTGTCTTATCTCGTGCCTAATTCATCTGGAGCAATGAGACCACACAGTTTCCACTAGAGCTTTGCTTTCTCTGGTGGTTATGAGTGGACAAGGGTTCGTTTTAAATCAAATTTTGTAGATCCATCTGCCACTCCACCCATGTGATTTGCTCCTCAGAACATGTATTTTGGATAGCAAGTGGCATTCCCTGGCGAATAAAGGAGTTTCTGATTGATTGGGCTGCGGTAACCCAGCATAGATGGTACTTGTTCAAACACTTCTATCTGATAAACAGCTCACTGTTTATTAAGCTCAGTGATGGCAAACCCATTTGGCATCAGGTGCCAAATTTATACAGAAAAGCACAGTCACTGCTGGAGGCCAATTCAAACCTCTGTTGGAGGGAAAACCTCCATGGGTGCCAATGTAATTTCTGATTTTTGTGGCCAGTGAATTGTATTTTTATACAGATACTTCCTTGAATTTTACTGTGAGACAGTTCGTATCTCTCCACCATTTGTTATAACCCGGAAGATACTTCTCAGAGAGTTCTCAGGTTTAATTCACTTGTGTTTTTAAATCTGCGAGGTCTCTGCATGAAAGACACTGAGTTCTCAGACAGACTTTAAAACAAAGTCAAGCAATTCAGGCTCTGGGTTCCCTTGGAGAGAGAATAAAGCACAAAGTGTGACTTTAGCTTCCAGGCAATCTGTTTAACCAGATGTGTAAAATAAATGCAGCTTGAACTAAAAAAAGGGCCGAGGCCAATTCTTTGTTTATTTACCAAATTAAACTCAAATGACTTGCCAAGAGATGAGCAGTCTGGTGCTTAAATGGGAAATATGGCATTAGTGCAGTCTTCCAGAGATACAGAAGCTTTGGTTTGGATTCTCTCCAGCTTTGGGGGACTTAACATTTTGGTCTTACAGTTTCTGGCTCTGCCACACCAAACATAATATCACTAAAAAATTGTGGGTAACAGCATCTCTACAAAGTGCATTTTTTAATAACTGGGGTGCTTTCTGTGAGCCTCAGAGGCCAAGAATTACTTTCAATGGGCAAGTCTTCTTAAGCAAACTGAAGTGGTCACAAATACCTCTTTACAGAGATCTGGAATCATAGTGGAAGGGAGGTGACTGCCAGGCCATGCTGAGATCCTTCTGAGCATACTTAGGAGACTCTGTTTAGATGCCTAAGGAACACTGAAAACTAAAATGAGGCGGAGAATAATTTTGGTTGAAAGGAACCTCTGGATATCCTGTAATCCAACCTCCTGCTCAGAGAAGAGCTAACCTCAAATTTAGGTGAGGTTTCTCAGGGCTTTGTCCACTCAAAGATTTTTGAAAATCTCTAAGGGTGGAGACTCCCCTGTTTCTCTGGGCCCAGTTACAGTGGATGTGGTAGTTAAATTTTGTGTCTGGTAGCTCTAACTGCCCCTGAGTGTCTTAGTAGATAACCTAACTGCATCCTTGGCCTTATACAGGAGGGTGTTTATACACTTGGATGAACGGTACTGACAGTGAGAAATGTGTCTTGGTTTAAGGTTCTATGATGAAATAGGAACACCCCTCCTCTCTGACATCCGTGTTGATTACCCTGAGGATGATGTGGAGCAGGTCACCCAAAACTTCTTTCCCAACTACTTCAATGGCTCTGAGATTATAATCGCCGGCAAACTCATCAACCGCACCTCAGACAAGCTCCACGTGGAGGTGACTGCCAGCAACTCCAAGAAGTACATCCTCCTCAAAACAGACGTGGCTATTGACCTGCCAAGCAGGAATGACATCAGAGGTGTCCCCGGCCTGGAAGATGGCAAAGGTGACAAAAATTACATCGAGAGGGCGTGGAGTTACCTCACCATCAAGGAATTGCTTAACTCCCGGTTGAAGAGTGATGACAGCCAGGAAAAAGACCATTTGATGGAGAAAGCCAAGTCCATGGCCCTGGCTTACAATTTTGTTACTCCCTTCACCGTGCTGAAGATGAGAGAGGCTGGGCTCCATTCAGAACCACCTCAGGAGGAGTTTATCAGGCCTTCTACTGATGGAATCAGGGAGAAGCTGCAGAGCTTGCAGGGACACAGAGCACCGCCAGGTACGAGAGAAAAATACCCTTGTGCTGGTAAGAAATCTTTTTGCATAGGTGATGTCTCATGGCTGACTTTGGCACAGGGATGATCCTCACCAATGAACTGAGGGGTAAAGCTGAGATTTTCATATCAGTTTTGCTAATTGTGAGCTGGGTAAACATAAGTAAACCTTTTAGGCACCTGACTCACCCCCTTGAAGCACTTGCTGCTCTAGAAACTGTTGAAGAAAAATTGGTGTTCTAAATGAAGCTTAAAGTACGTGCAGGAATATGCCCCATGATGCCCCTGATTTAATATTTTGAAAACACTTTTATACTATGATTCTTTCTGCTGCTGAAAAAATAATCATAACAGCTTTCCTTCCCCCACTTCTAGGTATACGCAGAGAGCAAGATAAACAAGTACAAGATAAACAAAGAATTAAAATTTCCAAAACTTCAGGTCAGTGCTTGTTTCCACGCCTTTAATAATGCAAAATAATAGTGGTTGACTTATGGAAACCTAAGATGCATGTCACTGTAGTATAACCATCCCAAGGAACAGCCAAAATCCTGTTTGCTAGACCAACAGGGTAGGGAGGAAAACGAAAACAAAAACAAAATACAGAGAGGATCAGTAATACAGAGAGTGAGCCAACATAGCAAGGCAGATGATCTCCAGCAATTGATCCTCATGTCTGAGACTTCTGTAGATTAGGGGAGAACAGGAAATGCATTCTCTTGTACCAGATCTAGTAAAAAACATTTTATAAAGTAATGTTGCTGAGACATAAAAAATGTTGCTAAAGGGGAAAAAAAAGAATATTCTATAGTAAATTACTATTTTTCTCTTGGTTCTGCACCTCTACTTTACATCCTTTTCATACATTAAACATTAAAGAAGTCCAGATCAAGAATTTTTACTTGAATTTCACTTGAAAAGGTCAAATTTAGTTTAAAAAATAAGCTTTTTGTCTTGCTTTATTAATGACACCTATATGGTAGTTGATGAGGGGTGAAGGATTATTGAAAAATTAAGATTGTGGGATCAATATCTGCTGTTGACTGCTCTAATCTGATATTGAGGACTAGGAGTGTTCAGTGTGAGGTGCACCCATCAGTCTTTGGTTAGAAAATTTTCATGCTGTGGGGGATGTAGCCTGCCAAGAAAATATAGAGAAGAGGAGTTTAAAACACCTGCATGATAACTCCCATAAATCACTGAAATTATGTTCCAGGAAGAAAGTATCCTGATTTTCATCCAGATTGTTTTGGGGGTTTGAGTTTTCATTTAAAAACCAACCTCTTCTGTGAGAAACAAAAACAAAACAATCTTTGGGAATAACAAAGCAAAACTTGGCATTTCCTGGCAAACTCCATCTGACCCTCTAAAAACAACAAACAAGGAGGTCTTGGAAAAAAACAGGGACAAACATACTTGAAAAAGCAGTCTTGCTACAGTCTTGGATGTTGCAGTTTTGTGTAAGCCTCTCACATTTTTTCCATGTCTTTCTCAGCGGATGGAGACCCTCACTTTGTCATTGACTTTCCCTCCAGCAAGTTCTCTGTCTGCTTCAATATCGATGGAGAACCAGGGGACATTCTCCGGCTGGTCTCTGATCACAAGGAATCTGGTGAGCAGCCAAGTCCAGCAGATGCTTGTGGGGGAAAACTGAAGTGCAAGCCCAGCTCTCCAGCAGTAAGACTGAGCACCAAGGTGCTTCACAGGCAAGAAAGGGACAGGAAATCAGGAAAAGTTTCTTTGATGGTGCAACTTCATAAATCCTCTAGTTACAAAGTCACAAGTCCAAAAGACTTGGATTCACCAAAATTGCTCTGTTACTGAAAGTTTGCTCTGTACAGTACTGCTTGGTGTAGGATAGAGCAAAGTACCTAAACAGGCTCACCAAGCACCGAGGCTGCTTCAGTAAAGAAATGACCAAACTGGTTACTGAGTCATGACAGCCTTGAGAAAACCCACATGATTCAGGATCTGCTTTGCCCAAGCCAGTCTGATCCTCAGGGGCCCAAACTGTGGTCTGATCCGATCTGGAATTCTAAGCAGGGCAGCTAATAATCAGATTATGTCCTGAGCAGGGCAACAGTTGGGAGAAAGGGGTGTCAAAACCAGAGACAGTTCACAGACTGGTTTTACAGAACACCACAACAAAGTTATAAGAATTCTGTTCTGCGTGGCAGTGGTCTAACCTCCATATTTCCGTGTCCATGCCTGCCTTAGTGAGCAAGATCCAGTTCTTGGCAATGTTTCCCTTCATCTTCTTTCACAGATGGTTTATGCTACTGCTTGAATGATTCTGTGGCTCAAATGCAGAATGAACTTGAGGAAAACAGACCCTGTAGCACTTGCAAGTTGAGTCTTTGAGGACAGAAACGAGCAATAAGGGGATGTGGAGATATCTCAGTGTTGATGGGTTGGGTCTGGTTTGGGTTAGCAACAAGCCTCCTCCTTTATTGTTGCTGTCCAGTAGCTGTTCAGAGGCCTGTGGGAAGTGAGACACTATCTGATGGACAGCAAATCAAAAAAATCATGGTTGGGAATCTTCCTGTGGACATCAAGGCTTTATTTGACTCTGTGGCATCTGCACCTTGTATTGCTCAAGAGTGGCTCTTCTGGTAGCACTGTGTACGCTGTGTTAGGATTGATGGGCCTGGGGGCACCTGTCTCCAGGGAAGGCCAGTATTTCTGAGCTTGGCTAAATTTATGTGCTCTGCATGTGGCAATAATTTTATAACAGACTGGTTATGCTCTTCTGAATGCTGGTAAATGAAATAACTGAGCACGAGGTGGTGAATCTGCATGTTCTTGGTCGCAAGGCTTTTGTTTTTGAGACATCAGACCTATTTTGGTTCCAGCTTTCATTTATTGATTATTTTCCTGCAAGGTGTCACCGTGAATGGGCAACTGATTGGAGCTCCTGCACCACCCAACGGCCACAAGAAGCATCGGACTTACTTCAGCACCATCACCATCCTCAGCAACAAGCCAGAGAGGTCCTACCTGGAGATCACACCCAGAAGGATCATCCTGGATGACGGGGAAAGGCTCGTCCTGTCCTGTGGTCGGAGTGCCATTGTGAGAAGCAGGAGCCTCGAGGTGTCCATCTCTGCCAACTCCAACGTCACCGTGACGATACGAGACACCATCAGCTTCGTCATCCTCATCCACCGCTACAAGAAGCCGGCCCCGTATCAGAGGAACCACCTGGGGTTCTACATCTCCAACAGCAAAGGCCTCTCTTCTGACTCCCACGGGCTACTGGGTAGGTAACAGGTTCTCAGGTTCAGAGCTGTAAACCAGACAAAAATGGTCCTTCCAAAGAGAGACAGAGGGTAAGGAACAAGGTGAACAAGGTGGGGATTAAGTTCCCAGGTGAGACTTTTACATCCACTCTCAAACAGCTTCTCTATTTTAATATCCCCAGCTCCTCTCCCATCTTTTCCTGTATGATCCATCTCCCACTATCCCAGCTTATATGGCTGTGCCTGTTTTTTACTTTTCCACTCTTTTTATGATTGTTTGACACAGCTGCTCTTAGAACACACATGCTTGATGCTCCCAATACAGAGACAGAAACCAAATATTCCAGAACAACCTCTTGTGACCCTTCTCTTTCAAACATTAGGGAAACAAGAGCCATCCCTACATTTTGAAGGAACTAGGCTTTAGGTAGGCTCAGAGAATGACCAGATGGGTTGGTTCTTTCAGCCAACAAGATGTATTGATGTTTATGGTCATGTACAGGCACAGAACTCCAAGACTGATGCCACAGTTTCTTGTGCCTCTCAGGTCCCCCCAAGTTAAGCCGGAGATGATCCCTCAGGAGCGAGGTTTTGGATTCAGACCACTTTCATGCACAAACCTCTAAATCCACACTCTTGTTTGGCCTAAAAGAGCTTGCCCCCGAGAAGGCAAGGGAAGAGAAGTTGGAGCTTCAGGCCTAGATATCCCTGCTTGCTGATGGGCACTGCGTGGGTTATTAACCTCTAGTAACCACGTCCCACAGAAGGGAACTTACTACTGGCAGCTAAAAAAACTCTTTAGCTCAGGCAATGTATCTTGACCAGTGGAAAAAAAAAAAACCAGGGTTTTACTCTAACCTGTACGTTTGTGGGATTTAGAAAAGAATCACAGGAACTAGATTCATCCTGCTGTTGCAGAGATGCCCTCTAGAACCCCATTCGCTGAGAATCCTCAAACACAGACTACTGAAAAAACAAACCACGAAACCACAACAGGCACAAATCAGCCAGTCATGGACTCTTATTTTATCTTGCCTTGCAGGTCAGTTCTTGAACCACGAAGTTAAACTTCTTCAGGAATCTCTAAACACAAGTCATCAGCAGGTTGGTCAGAATCACACTGAAGCGTTAAAGCCAAACCCTACAAATACCCTGAAGGTGAAGGGACGGCTCATTCCTGTGGTGTGGAAGCAGAGGAGGATCTACAATGGCCAGCAGGAGGTTGAATGCTGGTTTGCCAAAAACAATGCAGACAAACTGATTGATGGGAGCTATAAGGACTATTTGGCTTCTCACCCTTTCGACACAGGGACCAGCTTTGGGACAATTAACAGCCTTTAAGACCAGTCCTAACAATGCATTGCAGCAGGATGTGTGACAGCAGGTCCCTTCTGAAGCCTCTACTAATGAATATTTCTTTACTTTTTGGTGCCAAAGAAACTAAGGACTTTGCCCTTGGAAATCAGCTGTCTCTCTCTTTCATGCTAGATGAACACTGTTCATCAAATTCCTGAAGAACAAGGAGGTTGGGAGGGAGGGTCGAGGACATGGTTAAAGGCATGACTGGTGATCTCCCAGGGGGAAGGGAGGGAGAAATGGGCCAGCACTTGGACAGAGCAGAGAGCTGCTGACTTTTGAGTAAACCCGTGCAGGGATCTGTGCAATACACCCAAGAGGCCGGTGAGTCACCCCATGAGAGGCAGAGGTCATACAGCACAGTGCCTATTGAGGTGATATGCTTTGCAAAGAAGTGACTTGGAGCACCTGCTCCAACCTTGGTCCCTGGGGAAAGAAGAGAGAGAGAAGAGGTGGGTGGATAATCATCTGCAGTGACTCCCTAGCATCAAACAGATAACAAAGCCAAAGCCTTAAATAAACAGGCCACAGGAGGGTATTGCTTTCCTGGTTAGTGGGATGAGGTCTGGATTTATCACCAAGCATGAGTTTCCCTGAACCACTACAGACTCTTAAAACAGTGGTGAAAACCTTCATGTGGTTTATTGCTGTCTCAGGGCACAGCCTGAGTGCTTAAAAAGCACCTCCAGCCTTCAGCAGCAACAGGAGTGGTGCAGGCTCCCATTCCATGGAGCAGCTAATTCAACGGAATTCAATGTAATTCAGTTTAAATATCATTGCAGGGTTAGTGATTTCTTGAGTCTTGACTCCCAAGAGAAACAAAGTTCCACCACGAGCTTCCAACAGACCTGCCACGTCCTTGAGCATCTCATCACTTCTGCTTAGCAAAGATTTAAATTCTCCAAGGGATGATGAACCAGAACCCACAACAGCTTATGAGCCTACAAAGCAGTCTCTTCAATTTAGACTAGATGTTTCTAGCTGCTTTTCTAATCAGGGAGGAAGTCTTTATTTATTCCAAATTGTAAAAAACCAAAAAATTTCATCCCGGTTTCCCCTGGCTCCTTTCTCCTTCCTTACGCTGCAGGAATTTGGCAGCAGGAGGTTACAGAAGGGTCTGCCAGCCACCCCCACTGCAGGTGGTGCTGCTCTGCAAAGAAAACTCCAGACCCAAACTGCAAGGCTGTGGTCTATTTTAAAGTGAGGCATCACTGAGCAATGCTATAGATCAGTCACAGGGGCATTCTAGTAGAGAACTTGTCCAAAGAGGACTTGACAACCACAAAGACATTTACATGGCAAGGCCAAACTGAGCTTATGTATGCTCTGTCTTTTCAGAACTGAAAGGAAGGAGGGACGGTGTAGAAGCATCTCCAGAAATTAAATTATATCCATGTGTGAGGAGAAAACAGAGTTGACAGAGACCTGCAGAAATAGATTCAATCTTGACTGATTTTTTGCATATTTAACAATTAAATCATAGTGTTGCTGTAGGAGATCCAGCTGCTGGGGGTGGGGTGGTGATTTTCCAGTTGCTTGAGCAACTAGTTAGTGCTACTAGACCGTGGCAGCAGAGCAGGTGGCAAGCATGGTTTCTTATTCACACCATGTCCTGCCTGGAAGAGGGAAACAGCCAAAAGCAACCAGCAAGATTTAATTGCACTCTGGAAGATCTTTATAGTACAAAACTCCTGCCAAGGCTCATACTTTGGAACAAAACATAAAGGATAAAAAACTACTGCTTTGGGCCCAGCTATCTTGAGAAATAGGACTGTGCTGAAGGTCTTGCCTTCGGTTCTCCCTTGCAGGAGAGCTGAGTGTGGAATAATGAAAGATGTTTAATGCTCTGCAGTGGGCTCACGGGCCAGAAATGAGATGAGAAAGAACGTCTGTAAATGACTTCTCCACCCAAGAAGACAGCAGGAAGATCACCTATAGCCCATATCCAAACAACCTCCCATTTCACTGGCAGGGGGGAACAGGATAGTGGCAGTGAATTTCTATACAGTCCAGGGTTCAGCAGGTGTCTTCATACTGTCCTTACTGAAAAGAGATTTTGAAATCTTTCCTTTCCTCACACATTTTGCTGTTCAATCATATTGCTAAGGGGAGCAGTTGTCTTGGGCTCTCCTCTCCTGTATATAGATATGTATATAATATATATATACATACATACACACACACACACACTTACTGCTAATGATTCAGGTGCATCTTTACTCCTCCTCCTGCCAAGGAAACATATTTCTTTCAGGGCCTGAAGATAACAATGATCAAGTCCAACTTCTCAGCGATCTGAAGCACCTGGAGCAATATACTCAAGTTCTAATTAAGGCTCCAGTTATCCATTTCACAATAAATATTTTACAGTGAATGCTGCAGTGACGCTTTCATTTGGCAAAGATAAAACAACTCTGAAGCTGAGGTTATGTATGTTTTATGCTGCTGGACAAGCTCGTGTTTCCAGATGGCTGAAAGAATCACTCACAATAGGTTGGGAGCCAAAGTAATTTCAATGGAAAATTAGAGGTCAATGATGTTTTTCAGCCTCCATATACTTGGTAGAAAGCAACAAGTGTGTTGAGTGAAGTAAAATAAGAATTTAACCACATAGACTGATCCAGGCTTTAAATACAGTAGCCTAGGACATGGGAAAACAGTTTGTGCTCCCGCTGCACATACAGACATGCATTTGTTCTCATCTCCAACAGTGTCACACACCACTTGGTTTTGCAGTGACACAGCCACAGACTGCACATTGCTCAGACAGCTCAGGAATGAGGCTGAGCAACCACTGTGCAGTGCAATGGAAACAACTGCACACCATCATTTCAGAGAAGGGAACGGGACTCCTGAACTTAGGGTTGCTGAAACAGCACTGACTACACAACACTTGAGAGGGACAACCTTTCTCATCTTCCTTGCCCTGCTATTGCCTACTGTGAACTTTCTCAGGCAGCCTGAACTATGGGCTAAGATGAAGACCGTGTCGCTCACCTCTATTTTAGGACAAAGACTTGGCTGTGGCCAAATCTGCACTCTCCACGTGCTGCAGCATTGCACTGTGCAGCCCTATAGCAAGAACAAATCCCCCAATACCAGTACACCTCAAAACAGAGCAACTTTCAAATAGGGAGGCTGTTTTAATCTATTTCCAGTCAAGACCTGACACAGCACAGGACTTACTCCAGCCCTTAGCAGAGCAGAACTCTCCAGACAAGCAGAAGTTGCATTGTGAAACCAATTTCCCTAAGCAATACAAATGATCTATTCAGAGGGCTGTGTGCCATGTGTTCCAAAAACCTTTTGATGTGCCAGGAAAAGTAGGATTTTGACCCTTCATTAAGAAAGAAAAACAAAAAGAACTTAATTTCCAGAAAAACATTATAAAGCTGCACAGCTGCAAGTGTAGCCAAGCGTGTCTAGTTCACTGAAGGGCATGCAAGGCTTTGATTTGCATCTAAGGCTTCTAAACTACTTTGAAGTTAAGGAAAAAAAAAAACAACAAACCAAACCCCAAAAAATCCCCACCAAATATCTTCACACGCTAGAGCTCAGCCTTTAAAAGTCTAAATCCATCTAAGTTAGAAAATCCAAATCCTTTATTTTCTACTCCTTAATAAGGAGTGTTTTCTTGGGCAAATGCAAAGGAAAACAGGAAAATAAAAGATCAATCCCACCCATCACTTATGGGGACTGCCTTGCAATAAGCAAAGCTGTCTATGGCTCAACTAGGGATACCAGTTCAGTTCAGTGGATCCTGGGTCAGGCCCTGCTCTGAGGAATATCCACCCTTTGGACTCTGTGTGGGTCTCACCACAGCTGTGTATCTGCACCCACCCTGGGGGTGGCTTATGCAGCTGTTCCTGTACTCACTCCCTCCCCAGGACAGCTGCAAAGTGTTTTGCATTTTTGTGTTTACAGACAAATACAGTACGTTAACAGGAGAGGAAGGGCAAAGCCCTGCACTTCACACTTGAAACAAAAAGTGCCAGACCTGGGATGACCCAGGGTCTTCTCCTGCAGCAGTCCTATCCAAGGCCATTCCCTTACCCCCAGAAAACCAGGGCTGGCTAATAGGGCTTCAGTTAACAGTGCACATCCAGTTTGAATCGGGTCCTGCAGAGATTTCATATGTTTATTTTACACCAGGTAAAAAGGAGTCAACTTTCAGTAAACACTCACTTGTAAGGTGGCAACTGGGATCCATCTCCGGGTCTGTTGATGCACCAGGTCTTTCCACTGAAGCAGCTCATACAACTCATCTACAGAAACCAAGCACTGTGGCTCTGCTCTTCATGTGCAGCTTTACTAGGACAGCCCTGCTGCAGAAAGACAATCCTCCCTGGTCAGGAAAGATTTCAACAGCCCCCCCTTCCTCCTCTTCACAGCATTAAGGTTTTGCAGAGAATATTGAGCACATGAAGTCATTTCATTTATGAGGCAATTTTAGGTCAAATATTTATTGTATTCCTTATAAAACAGTAAAAAAGAATCAGATCCACTGAGACAATCTTCCCAATTCAAGACATTTAAATACATATTGCAAACCAATTATTTGAGTATTGTGCATATAAAAAGTGTCACAGTTCAGGTAACAGAGAATAGTCTTTTTTTTTTCTATAAAAAAAGCAAACAATCTTGATTTCTTTCTCTAGCCTTGACAAAAAAAAGTCACACCCAGCTGGCCAGCCAGGAAAAGTAAATACTCATACCCCAACCTCAACATGCCTGCGTGTGTACAGATTAGGGGAACACAGGGAAAGCAGATACTGCTCAAGCCTGTACAGGATGCACGGATAACATCCCAAAAACAACTGCAGGACAGGTCTAGACGAGGCAGGCAAAAGGATCTCTGCAGATCCATAGGGATCAACTAGCATTCCCCACCCTGTCCTTCCTTGGCCAGCCCAAGGATCACAGTGCTGCTCCTTCCTCCACCTCCCTTGTCCCGGTGTTGTCAGATGACCACTTGATAGCTGGGCTGCTTCATCTTCTGGTTGGTTCCATGGAGTCCTGAAGTGTCCTGGTCGCTTTCAGACTGATCAAAATCCATGTCTGGAGAGAGCAACACCTAGAAAGGAGAACAGACAGATGTTGATGGAG